CCTTTCGTGCGCTCCAAGCGATAAAAAAAATATATAATCAGGTGCTTATCCTATATTAAATACTTTTTATTGCTATGTTGTTATTTGTTGCTATCAGGTACCTGAGTTTTGTGTTTTGTTAGTTGATTAGGGTTGATGTTGTTTTTGTTGTCTTCATGTAGGAATAAAAAGGAATATTCCTTCAATTGGAAATTTTTCATATAGAAAATCCATAGTACACTATCAAAATTTGATGTCCTATTGATTTTGGAGCATTTTTAAAAATTCAATATTTATACATTATGTATCATTCCGAAGGCAGAAAGAAGAATTTTAGGGAGCTTGAGAAATAAAGGGTATTCCATGTAAAAAATCATGAAATTGAGTCGTATCTCCAATACCATACACCGAAAAAAATTTGAATGCGCCACTAGATTCTGCGTAAAATTTTCTATGGGATAAAATTCCAATTTGACATTTTCACTGAGGAAATTCGTTGATATACAGGGTATGTCACGACGAGCTTACACTATCTCTATTTCGAGAATCAGTCGAAAGAAACACATGAAAATATGCTTGCTTTTATTTTACAATACGTTCTCTTCATTTAAAATAATTTCAGCAATGCAGTGTTGCGTCGCTTCTATCGAAAAGGAGTAACAACTTTACTATTTCAAGTAGACTACCCTGTATTTTATTCCATTTTTGGATTTTTCCTAAAGAGCTGATCTCAACGATATATCACACTTAGGGTCTATCGTAAATGATTACAGAGATATTAGGTGGTCTTGATCGAGATTTTTCAACTTTTGGATTTGATTGTGTCGAAACTATTCATTATCGGCCAAAACGGTTCACATGTCCCTATCTCAACTTTTGATATACTATTTACTCATATTTAATCGGAACAGATACAGGGTGATCAGAGTTCTGAATCTCAAACCACCCTGTATCTGTTCCAATTAAATATGAATAAATAGCGAATCAAAAGTTGAGATAGGGACATGTGAACGTTTCGACCAATAATGAATAGTTTCGACACAAAAAAATCCTTAGGTTGAAAAATCTCGATTTTGAACACCCTATATCTCTGTAATATTTCTCGATAGACCCAATGTGTGACACATCGATGAAATCAGCTCTTCAGGAAGAATCTAAAAATTCGATGAAATACAGGGTGTTCCGTTTGAAATATCAATGTTGTTACTACTTTCTAGTAGAAGCGGCAACACTGCATTGTCGAAAATATTTTAAATGAAAAGAGCGTATTCTGAGATATTAGCATACACATTTTCATGGATTTCTCGCGATTGAATCTCGATATAAAGATAGTGTAGGCTCGTCGTGACATACCCTGTATAAAAGGTTCACAAAGTATAAATTTTCGAGATCACCCTGTATCTCATAAACGGAAACAGTTATGCAAAATCCAATTAGGCCATCTTGAGTTTCACAAGAAATTCACAAAGATCTATCCCTAAAAAAACTGTGATATCACGCAAAAGCATCAAAAACTGCATACACTGTTCCTAGTGACTCAGGTCTTGATATAAATGTTCACATTTTTATTCGATAAGGAACATTGGAAATTTTTGAGGAACGGGTTACGTGATAAGCCATTCATATTTTTCAGGTATATCAAGGATATTCCGAAGGCCTTGAAGACAGCGGATTGGTCGTCCTTCAAACCTTCATGGGATTCGCATCTGCCTTAGGCTGTGTTGGATTCGGCTTGGTCATAGTCAAGCCGAGCACCCAGTGTCTCATATCGAGACAGTATTTGTGCCAAGCGGCGATGATAGGAATAGGTTGGTATAAGAATTATGATGGATGTTCATTCAACAACCATAAATGGTTGAACTCGGAATGTCCGTTGAATGGATATCCAATGGAATTTCAATACGTACATAATCGTATTATACAATGTACATACATACGTCCGTCTTCATACGTAGAATGAATTCCTTTATTTCATTTGGGACGCCCCCCTCTATATCTTACATATTTGTCGTGCGATTCTTACCAAACTTTAACCGATATGAATATCCTTCAATATAATAAATTTTTCAGAGACATACCTCATTGAGGTCAGTGCTGTGCGTTTTTATTGAAATAAAAACCCAGGTAACACGGAACTCTTCGCGATATCTCCAAGTAGTTATCTTTAGGATCAAAATGCGAAATCTTCCTGCGAGGTGTCAAAGATCGCTATAGGCTGTCATCATGGGAAATACTCTCTGGGGTCGTCCGAAAGAAATCGCGGAGATCTCGCCTCAGATTTAATATATTCCTCATCATTGCGAATCCTTGAGGTTATCTATAACAGGAAATGAATAGGCATTTCTTCCTGCGAGCACCCAAGGATATCTTGGACGTAACAAGATCGAGCAGTTCCCATTGCGAGCTCCTAAAGTAATCACAAACATAACCTGAATAATTAATGAATTTTCCAACAGAAATATTGAGTTGTTTTTTTCAATAGCCTTCATAATTCATATACAGGATATCCCAAGTTATCGTATACAGGCAATATCTCGCCTATTTGTCAGCCTAATGGCTTATGAAGAATATTAAATATTTGGCAGCCCCCTGATGGTAGATACTGATCAGTTTTCATTCTCAAAAAGCATATTGTCTCTGAAAATTGCGTGTCAATCTATTTGAAATACAATAACGATATAGCACATACCTGGTGTTTTGTTCATTGATAACAAAAAAAACATGAATATTTTGTGACTTTTTACGTTACTTAAATAAAAAATTGCTTTCACCCATGTGTCCAAGTAGTTCAAAGATAAGAAGTATCTATATATGGATTGAATTTTTGTTTGAAAAATTAATGACAGATATTCTGTAGTACAGAACATCAATCATTGCTGACGGTACCTACCTAGTGTAATAATTAATCTACTTTTATTGTGAGAAATTTTCACAAACATGGGAGGAGGCAATTTCCAATCAATGTATCGTAAATAAGGTCAAAATTTTTTATTATTCTTGTTGTTATCAATGAACAAAATACAGAGTACCCATGTGCTAGCGTTCTATTCCAAAATAGGATGATAGGCAATTTTCAATGATAATATACAGGTAGTCCATTCAATAAAAATTGAGGGGTAGCTCTACCAGTGGGCTGTTCAAATCAATACATTTTTTTTACCACCCAGTATTAACATGAAATGGAAGTCATTAATCTATGATAATAATAATTGTAAACTAGATACTCCATTTTCTTACTGTCTCAGAGAATCTGTTTAACAGGATATATAATTATCTTCCCGCCATCATGAAGATTATTTCAAATTTTTGCAGTAAATTGATGATAATTATCTGTTCTGACGAAAAAGACAGAAATGTTTCAATTCAGGTGGGTTCAAGAATCAAATATCTACTTCAAATTCGTGGTTAAATATCGGACGACCTTTTTCTTTAATGAATACCCCGCCAACTCCCCAAAGATATTTTCAAGTGAAATAGTTCACTGGATCAATCTTGCTATAAAAAAATATACAGGGTGTCCGAAAATTAGGCGCAAAAAATCAAGGGTGTGATTCTTCATGATAAAATAAGAATTTCATTTCATATGTACAGTCGTCTTCAACGAACATGTCGCGGTTGGACGGTATGAGCGCTCTTATTGCAACGGTGATCAAGGGAGCTGACACCGTCCATGTGCGACATGATCTCTGAAGACGACTGTACGTGGGTCCGGTAATGCATAGTTTTCAACATACAGTGTGTAAAAACTTTTGAAAAAGTTCGGCTTTTTATGGATAGGTATCTCAAATGTCCTTTCACCGATTATCTTGAAATTTGGGAATGATATTTTTTGTCATGAGGGGCTGATATAGCGATAATTTAATCGGAATTATGGAAGCCAGTGGCTTCCCAGGGGGCAACCTAGCGAATATTATTGTCAATAAAATGTGCGCCACTGATTTTTTTGAATTCTTTATCTGCATAACCTATTGACCAAACTGAAAATACAACTTTTTGGTGTCTTGAATTGTTCTGAAAATTTGCTTCATTTCCATGGACAAAAATAAATACCAATTTATTGCATGAATTTGTGCCAGAAAATTCCTTCAAAAACTGGGGTGGAAATAAATGCGTAATCAAAATCCATAGACATAGAATAAGTATGAAGATTCATTTTCTTCAAATATTTCTTGATACCTGTTTGAAACACTCTACACTCTGTATATAGAGAAATATGTATTTTTGCTCCAAGGAGGCGCCGTTTTCGATAATACAAAGTGTGTCAAACATGTAATATGAAATATTTGAAGAAGATGAATCTTCATTCCTATTCTACGTCTATGGACATGGATCACACATTTAATTTCATCCCTGTTTTTGAAACTTTGTTTTGCACAAATTTATGCAATGAATTGGTATTTATTTTTTTTCCACGGAAACGCAGCAAAATTACAAAACAATTCAAGATAACAAAATGTTGTATTCTCAGTTAATCATTAGGATATGACGATGTGAAATTTGAAAAAATCAGTGGCGCACATTTTATTGACAATAATATTCGGTAGGATGCCCCCGGGACGCCACTGGATTTCACAATTCCAATTCAATTATGGCTAAATCAGCCTCTCATGACGAAGAATATCATTGCCAAATTTAGAGAGAATCGGTGGAAGGATATTTGAGATATTCATAAATAACCGATTTTTTCTAAAAAGTTCAACACACTGTATCTTGAAAACTATGCATTTCCGGACACGAGTATATATTAAATGAATCTCATGTTTTCTCATGCAGAATCACCCCCTTGATTTTTTGCGCATAATTCTAAGAGTTTGGTAACGCCATCTTCGGCCCTGAAACAAATTTCGAGTAAATTCAACTCCAACCCCGAACAATAAAGCTGATGGCGTTAGTTAGACTTCGTCGACAGGCGACTGCTGATAACCAATAACTTCCGAGAAATTGAACACCGTACCATATTGCGCTCCAAGAGATAAAAAAATGATCTGACATTTTCCAGGTATCTCTTTGCTGGCCCTCAGCGCAGTTCAAGGCTACCACGGCTACGTCCTCTTCGTGTGGATGTACGGCGTTTGTCTGGGGGGTTTCTCCTACTCCCTCAAGATGTTCACCTTGGAAAGGGTGAAAGGACGGCACTTCACGAAAGCGTGGGGCTTCATACAGGGCGCCAAATCGGTGCCCGTGCTCATCGGGATACCCATCACGGGGTACATCAATCAGACGTACCCCAAGGCGGGGTACTATTTCAGTTTCGTCACTACCATTATTGGTGAGGAAATCATTTCAAAATTGAATTCAAAGAATTTCTGATTAACGGTTTTTTCCATAGTATCGACGAATATCTGAATCGATGAAATGCATTCCATATTCTGTGTACTATGTGGTTCTGTTATATTTTCATGTATCTGTATATTATAAATTGTGTGTAAATATTTTGTTGTCTGATGTATCCTATGTCATTTTTCATGATCGTGGAGGATTCACTAAATCTCATTATTTGATTTATTATTATTATTCTACGTATCTTCCGGATGATGATCAATTGATTTTTATCCCGATTTATGTAATTTTTTTATCGAATTTAATTCGTGCAGTGAAAATCTCATATATTCTTCAGGGATCCTTCATTGAAGAAAATTTAAATATGTGAAAAAACACGTGCACTATGCATATACAGGGTGCCCGTTTTTCTGGCTCCACTATGGAGATCTTTGGTTATTATAAGAGATACGAGTTTGGTTGAATTAGATCAAAGGCGACTATTTTCATGCTGAACAATTATCTGCTGGAAATTTGATGTGTCGTTCTCAATTTTGTCAATTATTGAAAGAGAACAAAAATCTATCATTCTAGTTTTTATTTTTTTCAGGCAAAAACTGAATGACCTAGCCTTTTCTGACTGAGACATTCTTGGGACACTCTTTCACAAGGAATCTCAACATCTACTAGATCTCATACCTAAGAGATCCAAGATGAACAGAATTGCCCCAATTGTCAGTAGGAGCGAGATAGTACTTTTTCGACCCACCAGGTCTCATCATCATATTTTTCATGTCGTTATTATTGAAACCAAAGTTACAATACCCAATTTCTTTTTTTCTTATGGGCGGCGCCATACTGGAATTTTGCATTTTTGATAACTATTTTTCTTTCAGATTACAATGATGTATCACACGATACGATCGAATCTCACCTGTTCAGCAAAATAAGGAAGAAATATAGTTGCGAAGTGTGCTTTGGAAAAACGACAACAATTTTGTTCAACGAACCAAGTTCAGACATTTTATTCGAATTTGGATCTTTTTCGACGAGCTCACCTACCTAAAAACTCTGGTTTTGAATTAGAAGCGACGTGATGAGCTAGAATAAGTGTATTCTTCTAAAGAAAAAATCGAAAGAAAGTTATGAAAGATGCTCGAATACTCCACATTCTACTTTCCAACACGATTCTAGGCGTTTCCTCAGATTCTGAATTGCTCGCGAGACGTTTTCTCAAGCACTTTTCGCAAAAACGATTTTTCCCAATCTTAATCAGCATGTGAGATCTAATTATATCGTCTGATACATCATTGTGATCAGTTGAAAAAAGTACTTTCCAGAAGTGCAAAAATCCAATATGGCAACCAATAGAAAAAACGAAATTGTGTGTTGTAACTTTGGCCTCAACGACGTCATGGAAAATACAATGACAGATAGGTACAGATTTCTTGTCAAATGGAGCCATTAGAACGTCCCAGTCAGAAAAGTCCAAGTCCCTTGGAAAAATTACAAACTCTTAATGATTGTTCAACATGAAAATGCGCAACTTTGCCCTAATTTGACCGACCTCGCATCTCTTATAATACCAAAGATTCCCATGGTGGAGCTCAAAAAACGGGCACCCTGTAGTCATGCAAAAATGACCAGTTACTGTCTCCGCACTACTGAAAACTATTCAAGAGAGATTAGGTCGAAAATTTCACACCAAACATTTTCGAATTTGAAGCCTGTATTTCGTATCGTTACCATAGCAACCAAACAGATTTCTTGGGAATTCTTTCCTCCTCCTTGAGGGACGGAGCATGAAATTACACTGGAAATTTTTTGACGTTTATATGACATTCACATTCAACTCCAGATTATTTCGAGTCAATAAATAAAAAAAAAGTTAAGTCATGGAAACCATCCATCCTTCTCAAAGTGGTCCAGATTTTTTCAAAAAAAAAACACAAACGCTAAGTCGGTCGACCACAAAGTTTAATTACAAAACAAATTTTGTGATTAGTTTCGGCTCAAGCAGCCATACAGGTACTATATACTGTGTCTGAAGATGGCTGCTTGAGCCGAAACAAGTCACAAAAATCTTTTTGTAATCAAACTTTGTGGTCGACCGACTTAGCGTTTGTGTTTTTTCTTTGAAAAAAAAAGTTATCAACAATTTTCCATATAATATTATGTAGGTATACTTGCGAATTCGGAATTTACAAAAACACAGGTTGTTACTATATACATTTTAGTTCTTACATTTCATCACAAACAACCATCATTTTCAACTTAATCATCTGAGTGTTGTTGAAATTCCTTAGCTACGTCTTCTCTCTTCAATGGAGAATATAAAAGCGACTATTTACTAGAACGTATAAAATATCTATGTTTCATGAAATATATGTAGTACTGTGAAACAATCTTATTCTGTTGTAATCCACGAAGAGCTCCATATTTTTCACACACCAGAAGCAAATGATATTCGAAAATCCCAAACAAATTCGGTGAATAGATTTTTGGCCCGCATTCTTCTACTAAAAACGCTAAAAATTTTAAATTCCGATGATACATTTTAATGTCACTTACTTCATTACAAAACTTGCATTATTGTTATACTATTTTTATATTATCATCTATCATTTTCAAGAGGCACCTTTTTTCATTATTTTCTACCAACTTTAGTTGAATAGATTTGTGAAAAACTGAAAGATTGATTTAATACTGACCTATTTTTCTTCATTTAATTCAACTAAAGTCGTTCAATTATATGTTATTCAACCTAATAATATTATGCGCTCAAATTTCATGGATATACTGAATAGTACTCCGAATTTCTTGCAAGAAAATATATTTCTACCAACTTTAGTGAACTAAATTTCTGAATAATTTGAAACGTGAGCTACTATCGATTCATTTCTGATTATTTTGTATAACTAAAGTAGGTTATTTGGGTTTCATTTAACCTAACAATGTCATAAATGTGCATTTTATTTAGAATATGAACACATTTTCATATAAACACTATGATATTATACTTTCTCTTCAGTTTTGACATGAAGAATGACATACGTAAATAAAAAAAATATATTATCCTTTTGAGTTAACATACAAAGCCTACTATTCGAATGTCAAAACCATCAAAAATCGTCATTATTCAAGTGATTTTTTAATAATATTTCAGTGTGAAATTTTCTTACCGAATACCATTTTAGCTTCAATTAATATCCGGGAATAACTGAAGCTCTCGTGATTTTATGAGTGAAAATTTCACACCAAACATTTTCGATCAATTAAAAGCCTGTATTTCGTATCGTTACCATAGCAACCGAACAGATTTCTTGGAAATTCTTTCCTCCTCCTTGGGGGACGGAGCATTAAATTAAACTGGAAATTTTTTGACGTTTCAAGGTTGAATGACATTTACATTTAACTTCAGATCATTTCGAGTTCATTCCATAAAGGTCGGGAGACAATGGAGAGGAATAGAGAATAATGAATAAAAAATAAGAAATGCAGGTATCTACTATTGATCAATTCTAACCTTGAACGCGTTTTAGACCAATCATAGTGCTATTGCTTATATTGCTATTCCTTATTTTTTTGCATTGTGTTTGGGCCTATAGTCAATAAATAGAAATCATTCATCAACAGTTTACCATATAATATTATGTAGGTATACTTGTAAATTCGAAATTACATTTCATCACAGACAACCATCATTTTCAACTAAATCATCAAAGTGTTGTTGAAATTCCTGAGCTTCGTCTACTTTCTTCCATGGAGAATATAAACGCAAACATCCACTAGAACGTATAAAATGTCTATGTTTCATAAAATATATTTAGTACTGCTGGTTTCCTCTCCCAAAACGAAACATTCTCATGTAAACACTAAGATATTATACCTACTCTCCAGTTTTGACATGAAGAATGACATACGTGGATACAAAATAGTTATTTTATCATACATGGGAAAAAAGTAGTAGATTTTAGCTCCAGGTTGTATTGTCTCCCGTAGCGGAGGGAGACAAAAAACCGTGAGCTAAAATCTAACATTTTTCTCGTATATAATACACTATTTTCTCTGTGACAGAAGGAAGTACGAATCAATATTGAGAAGTTATTACATTATTTTGAAATCTGAAAATCATCGACGTGAAATTTTAAGTTTTTAACAGTAGGGACACCTGCGTTTTAGGCATCTTTATCATTCTTTCGAAGTAATCAAATCTGATGTCACTTCTGTCAGTCTAATTCTGTGATTTGATTTCAAAGAATTGCGAATCTAGTGGTTGTTTAGAAATATACGTAACCGCGAAGTCGAATGGAAGATAAAAGGACTCGCGCAGTTCTTTCTTGGAGACGATATTATTGACTCATTTTTCGGAACTATAGCACAACAAAAGCCATCAACAGTGTATATATATCCGGGAAAAAAATACTCACTCTTTTTCGACAGGAAAAAGTTATTTATGAAAAGTGATATTTTATATAACCTGCCAACAGAGATGAAATGCCAAATTTTTTTCCCGTCACAGAGAAAAATATATTATTCTTTTGTATTAAGATACAAAGCTCACTATTCAAATGTCGAAACCATAGCAAATCGTCATTATCCTAGTAATTTTGTAATAAAATTTCAGTGTGAAATTGTTTTACCGAATACTATACTTTAGCTTCAATCAATATCTGGAGATTTTTTCGAGAACACGATTATTTTGAAAATTATCTTGAGTAGAAGACGAATAATTGGAGTTCTGGTGATATTTTAAGTGAAAATTGTACCTAACTCTATGAGTTTATCTTGTACACATCAATCTGTCATGTCAAAGCAGCTCACAATCATGTTTCTATCTCTCAACTTCAGATCAAGTATCTACTGATATTCAGTTAGATGAAATGAAGGGAGATCAGAATTCTGAATATTGAACCAACCAAGGTATTTTGCCATTGTCGATTTTGTAATCTACCTACGCGGTGATGTCACGTGGGTGACACTTCTGGTACTATAAATGTATAATCTCGTTGTTTCTTGCTCAATGATATGTTGACATCATATTCATCTCTAGTGTTCCATCAAATTTCACTATGTTATATATTTTTTTCTACTACTGCTATGAAAAGTAGAGCATTTCTCATAGCTCACTTAGTTTCGAAACCATGTATTGCTCATACTGTGAGAATTTTTTTTTTTCTCACGGCACTTTGCCAACACCACATACATTTCTATGGAGAATCAAAGAAAATCGACCAAAACTCAATTGGCTGGTGTTCAGCTTTGCATAGTTTTCACAACTGTCAGAAGTTTTTGAAATTCTTTAAGGTAGTTCTTATTAGTGCTCTGGATAGAAATCGCAGTTTCCATCGAATATTATTCCAACAATTCATAATAAATAATATGATGTATATACCGAAATGTGACGATTTTGATAAATACACCGACAGAAGCAGAGATAATGGAAAAAGCTGCGAAAATTTGATTTTTTTCCGGAAATTTCAAGGAGAAAGTATGAATTGGCATATACGAAAAATTTATGGAATCTGAAAAAAATACATAAATAAAATCTTTTTCGGAAAGTTTACTATTCTAAAATACTTTGAGGAACTAGGAAAGGTGTTTACTCGTTGGTCACGATATTCAATGGGGCATAGTGCCACATTATGAAATGAATACCAATGAGTTAAATTACTCGGAATCTTTGGATAGGTGTAGTTGTAGAAAAAGTATAGTGTGCAACATGTGGGGCAAAGAACTTTTCTCACTCGTGTGTTTGCATCACTCGCCCTTCAGGCTGGTGCCACAAAAAAAGTTGAACTTTCCCCACTTGTTGCACAATACAGGGTAATGCAAATTTCATGGTACACTATTGTTAACTCGGAAACAGAGAGAGATGCGAACTACGTTAAATCACGAAAAAAATGCACAATTTCATGACCATTTCAAATATCAAAAGAAATCGAGGACATCCCTCTTATTTCCTGAAATATCCTGAAAAAACTGAAAATAGTCGATTTTTATTATAATCAATAACTTTTGAACTGTTTTCACTAGAGTTTTGAAATTTGGTACACTTACTGAATGTCGCATGGCGAATTCAACGGTGATATGAAAAAAATTCTAGGCACACTAGATTCGAAGATATTGAAGCAAATTTTGATTTTTCTAATGGTCGCCATATTGGATTTTTGCACCATCCGATAGATAAAAAAATTACCAATTCATCGATGTATCACACTTCCATGTTCGATGATGGAATGACGAAAATACAGGAAAAATAGAAAATTAATAATTAAGTTAACGTATAAGATCTGCTATCAAGCTTACAATTTCAGAAATTTTCATTAAACGTAAAAATAATAATATTGAACTCAATTTCTGAGGTGCTCGAAGTGACCCCCTCCATTTTCAAGACAAAGTGCAGCTCGACTGCAAATGTCATTTGCTGCTCTCCGTATGGTTGCTTCCGGTATTGAATTAATTGTTTGTACAATTTGTTCTCGCGAATCTGCAGCGTCTCCTATTGTTCTGGCATAAACTGTATTTTTCAGATATCCCCATGGGTAATAGTCTAACGGATTTAGATCCGGAGATCTAGCGGGCCAGCGTACTGGACCGTTAGTGCCAATCCACTTCCGTGGAAACATTTGATGCAATGTCTGGGTAACCAATGCTGCATTGTGAGCAGGAGCACCGTCTTGCTGAAACCACATTTGGTGGATCTGATTAATGGGAAATCCATCCAATGAGGGTTCAACACTATCTCTCAACAGGTTCCTATAGTTTTCTCCGTTCAGGCGATCTTCAAGAAAAAATGGACCCAGAATCCGACCATTGAAGATGCCACACCAGACATTAACCGAGAATCTTATTTGATGACGTGATTCTTTCTTGAGCTTTGGATTCTCTGTGGACCAATAATGCTCATTGTGACGATTGAAAAGGCCATTATTTGTAAAAAGGCACTCATCTGACCACAGCACTTTCAATGGAAAATTTACATCATTGTTCACCCTATTCTGTAACCATTCACAAAAAAAGGATCGCCTGGCAAAATCTTCTCGACTGATTCCTTGTACTACATGATAATGATAAGGGTGGAATTTTTGCTTTTTGAGTATTCTACTAGCTGTAGATTGATGGACATTACACTGCCTTGCAATAGCATAAGTTGATATGTTTGGATTAATGTGCACTTGTGCTAGGATATTTATAACGTTAAGATTCAACCCTCTTCTCATTCCATACCTAGGTGAATCAGAAAGTTATTTATGGAAGAATACAAAAATGTTAATACATATCTCACCTTGAACGCCTTGTTGCAAAAGTTCCATCTAGTCTGATCTTCTGTGCAATCCTTTGGAAATAATTTCGCGAAGGCTGAATCCGTTCAGGGTATAAATTTTCATACATTTCACTAGCTCGCGTCGAATTTCGAAAGCAGCGAATGTAAACATCATACATATCACTCCTTTCTTCAATGCTGTAAACATTCACCATCTCAATTTGGTTTCAGTAGAGATGTGAACAATTATAATTTTCAAATTCTCAGAATGACAGATGAATTTTTAATGTTCTAATATCCAGAACTGAAAACTGGACATTGTGACAGCCGCCTCCTTGACATTGATGAACTGGCTGGCACGTGTCGAATCCCGTAAACAGCGATGTACAGGATATTTCTTAAGTATGTGTAGAAAAAGTAGTTTAGTTCGCATCTCTCTCCGTTTCCGAGTTAACAATAGTGTACCATGAAATTTGCATTACCCTGTATACTATTTTAACTGCAGTAGACCATTCTTCGTTTTCTTCTAGGTGCTAGTCTGATGTTCCTTGTTGGCACGCGGAAGGACCATACCTCCATCTTGAATAGCCATTCGAATAGCAATTTGAACAATTGCTCCGTTACCAACCTCAACCTGATGAACGACTGCGCATGCCCGTTGGTTCCCTACAACGGTCTATACACGCCGCAAAAACCTTCTTACCAATTCTGCAGGCAAGGCAGCAACAACTATGAACGCATTTTCGCCAACTATCATGACCATTTCGATAAAGCGAATTATCACAGGTGAATACTCAAAATTTTAAGAAACTATGGAAGAGCAATGTTTGGCATAACAAATCAATTTAGTTAGCCCTAATAACACAACTCGATTCATTGGACGTCCTATGGACATCCTGTACACTGGATGACGTATGGATATCCATAGAATATCGCGTTTCCAACTGTTTAGCAATCCATATGGTATATCCGTCTTGGACATCTATATTAGTGATTTTCTTTCAATCTGAACTAACTGAAATTTTTTTCACTACCTAACAACACAATCACATCCTAGGGACTTCTCAGGAACGTCTCTAATTTTATACTAGGACATCCCAGGAATATCCTTTGTCGAACAAAGTACGTACTTGGGACGTCCCAGGGACATCGGCTGGCCGCCAATAAAAAAGAACCAAGGGATGGCCTCCTGGTACGTCTCTGGGATGTACCAAGTACGAAAAAAGGATATTCCTAGGACGTCCCAAGAAATACTCCAGGGTCATCCCTTCGACAAAAGAAAAGAGAATGTAGGTCGAGTAGGAATCGAACCCGGGACCTTTAGCTTTTCAGGCACGCACCTTACTCCATTGACTAATAAGCCTCCTGAAGATTCATGTACTAACTAGATTCATAAACAGGTCTAAACTACAGAAACCTGAATAAAAACAACTCTGTTAGGATTTTGATATAATTATTATTATTCTTGGGTGTTCTGAAATGAGGAGCTTTATGCATTTACGATTTCTGTTCGCGAAAAATGGTGATTACTCAAGAAATGCTGGGACAAAATTCTTCATTTTCATTCCAAATATCTTTCGGAATAAAAACAAACATTTTCAAAAAAATTCAATTCAATATTTTGATGAAATTCAATGTATCTGATGTGAATGGATATCAGATATCCCAGGAATATGGAAAGGATAACCTAGGGATGTACCAGGCGGGATGCCCACTGGACAACCACTGTCCTTGTAACGCGGACCAAAAAAGAGACGTACCTAGGACATCCCTGTGTTGTTAGGGCTAGAACTAAATTGAATCATTCTTTCGAATGACGTTCATTATGTACAATGCATGTCAACTGATTCAGTTCAGTTCAAATGGAATGAATCAGTTAGTTCAGAATGAAAGAATATCACAATGGTATTCGTCAAGAACATCCATATGGTATCTGTCTTGGACATCCATATGGTGAATTTCATCGGATATCTTGAATGTAAGCATTCCTATATTATATAGGAATGATATGAGATCTGCTCAAAAAATAGAATCTTTCTCTCTGGTTGTTATATTGATTCCAAATGTGATCATATCCAAGAACACTAGGTACTATGATATTCTGTATCAGATTGGTGTGATACGTTATTTTTTTCGACACATCCCTTCGTCATTTCAGTTTGGTTGACTTGACACAATAGGCATTCAATTTCAGATCCCTTCTACTAGTTGAAATTCTTCGACATCTTCATCAACACATCCTGGGATGGCTCTCCACTTCGAATGATCTATTTATTCTTCGACCAAAATGTCATAGCGATGAAACACAAGCAGTTGTCGACGCCATTCACACACACATATTAAATAACAGATTACTACAGAAATCAAGTAGGAATGGGCCAAATAATCAAAGTGGAATGTAATGGTTACCAACTGAGAGAAACTCAAAGTCATTACCACGATAGTTCATAAAATGAACGAGAATGGTAGGTAACTACTTTCCTGGCTATATGCCACGCAGAACATTGGATTACATCCTCCCGAAATCTATACAATAATTCGTGAACGCAGGGTATAACATGAAGTTATGGTAATGTTGTAGCCATCTAGTGGCAAAGCTCTAAGGTAGGATACAGAAATTGCGACACATACTGTATAGCGCTGCCATCTATAGACACACGTACAGACTCCTACGTCTATACGCTACAGAGTGCTTCTACAAGTAAACCACTCTACTGACAGATGGCACTACCTGACATACTTGAGTGGAAATTTTCCACCACCTATCCAACTGCTAGGTCTCATAACTAAGATATACAGGATGAACACAGTTGCCCAATTGTCAGAAGGAGCGAGACAGTACTGTTTCGACCCACCAGGTCTCATCAGCCGCTCTTGGTGATATATGGTTGATGGATTGACCTCCTTTCAGCGGACACCCTGTATAAAGAAATACATTGAGAATTCGCATTCTCTATGTGGAAAATATCAATTATTTCTCGGTTTCTTCAACAGGAGACGAATGATTCCCCGGCTATATGCCACGACGAACATTCAATTATTCCTATTGAACACACACGAGTTTTCTATTTCATGTCCATAAACATATCTGAGGATATTCCTTTTCTTTACTTCCACCCAATCAAGGGTATTGGTATTGGTATTGGTAGGTTGGATGGTGACAGATGCGCTGCGACCTAATTAGATCTATTGTGCCCCATCTGCTCCTGCTATATCAAGGGTTTCCTGTTCATAGCAGCCCCTCGAGATTCAATTCCTTCAGGAATTTGAGGATTTTGAGGGGGTCTAGCTGTAGTATTTCTTCCACAGTCAGCTGGTGTGTTCCCAGTATGTTCAATCTTTTGTGATGTACAGCGTCACACTCCATCAGTATGTGATAAGGTGATTCTGGTGCTTCCTCACAGAATCTGCAGGTGCCGTCCTCCTGTAAGCCTAGCTTCCTCAGGTGTTCTTTGAGTCTGCAATGCCCCGTTAGAAATCCCGTTATTGCTTTGAGACTTCCTTTGCTGAGGTTTGTCAGTGTCTTAGATCTTTCTCGGTTGAAATTTCCAAGGAGATCTTTAGCCTGCCGTAGTCCTGGAAGTCTTCTCCACCCCAATCAAGGGGTTCAAACTTGAACGATGGAAACCTGTTATTTTCATAGACTTTCAATCGCAGATTCGTGATAAGGTTTCCTCAATTCAGAATTTCTTTCCACGTCCTGTATGATAAATATCAATTTACCAAACATCCAAAAACAATCATGTATAATTCTTGTACACTTCCTTAATGGTATTTAACACTCCTTCAATGTTTTCAGGCTGTCCTATAGACACAAAAAAGACACCCCTTACCAACATCACTTGCCGAAAAGCATCAGCTACGCAGCCAACATCGACAGATCGGCCTACCATCCCCAGCTAAGCAGTTTGTGCAACAAACAAGACCACATCAGATATTCCTCGCTGCCAAGGATGAAAAGAGGTGCTACCCTCAGACCAAGTAAAAGTGTACCTGAAGGACTAGCTCGGTGGGAGTACTGTAGAACTTATAGGAGACCTACCATTAGGAACATTCAAGTGATTGAGCAAATGACGACTTCTGTATAATAGCGAATAGAAAGACCAAAGATTTATTATAATTAGGAATTAAAGATGAACTTCCTGAGTTGTTTGTTTTATTCATTATGGTTCCTCAATCTGGTTCTTGTGAATAACAAAGTGCTGAGCTTCCTCAACCACTATACATCGTCCGATGGGCTACTTTTTTTTTTATCGATTGGAGCGCACGAAAGGGAATCCCTATAATGTTCAAAGAACATCGTGCGTTCCTAGGGAGAATAGGGTCAGGAGGTAGGTATTGGAATTTTTTTTGAATTTTTGGAGATCAAATGTTGTTGGGAATACTTCCACAGGCAATGAATTCCAGAGCCTAGCCGTTCTATGGATGAAGCAGTCTTGATAAAGTGCTGTTCGACATCTTTCGAGGTTGACAACGAAAGGATGTGCTGACTGGGCTTGTCTAGTTCGTCTGATTGGTATTGCTAGTGAAGGGATGATTGCAGAGAGTTCCGAAGAACATTTCCCGTGGAAGTATCGATAGAAAAGTGAAAGGTCGCCGACCTTTCTACGGTGTTCCAATGATGTCAAAGAGCGAGTGAGTGTGGCGTCACCCACCAGGCGAATGGCTCTTCTCTGGATGGAATCTAAGAGCATCAGCGTATGTTTTGGTGCTGAACCCCATATGTGGGAACAGTATTCTAGAACAGGCCGTATCTGCGCTTTGTAGATCATGAGAAGCTGTCGAGGTGTAAAGTAGCTTTTCGCACGGAACAAGAATCCGAGTTTTTGTGAAGCAGCTTTTGCGATGGATCTGACATGATTATCCCATGAAAGAGTGTTGCTGATGGAAATACCGAGCAAAGATATGGTGGGCTTGGTGAGGATGGTGGAGCCAGACATTATAATATCGGGCATACTGAGTTCCGCCTTCCTAGAGAAAATGCAGGCTTGAGTTTTGGTGGCGTTGAATTCAACTAGGTTGTTCGTTCCCCAGGCTGTGATTTCAGCAAGATCTTCATTGACAGCATTGACCTGCCTGCGCCGTGAGTTCTTAGTTTCCTGGGAAGAAATGGGAATTCTGGAAGAGAACGCAGTATGGAGGGTACTATCATCTGCAAAGCTGTGGATGGGGCAAGTTGTTACTTCCAACAGATCATTGATATGAAGCAGGAATAATGTTGGTGCCAAAATTGATCCTTGTGGAACGCCGGAATTGATGCCAATGGTATCAGACGATACACCGTCCACCACCACGTGAAGCGATCTGCCTGAAAGAAAACTCGATAAGAGATGGCATAGCTGAGGTGGTAAGCCGTATGATGGTAGTTTGTGGAGGAGTCCTTAGTGCCAAACACGGTCGAATGCTTTCGATATGTCCAACGCGACAGCTAGAGATTCCCCGTGTTTTTCTATTGGAGATTGCCATAAATGGGTGACGTAGGCAAGTAGATCTCCAGTAGATCTTCGGTGGCGAAAGCCGTATTGTCTATCATTGATGATTCCTGAGCTCTCCAGATATTTGATAAGCTCAATATTGATGGCTTTCTCCATCACTTTGGAGATTACTGATAACAGGGCAATGGGCCTGTAGTTGTTGGGCAGGTTCTTGTTCCCTTCTTTGGGGATTGGTTGTACTCTAGCTGTCTTCCAGCATGAAGGAAAAATACCCGAACTGTACGAGATGGTAAACAACTCGCAGAGAATCGGTGTTAATTCTGGTGCACATTTTCTGAGGATAATGGGTGGAATTCCATCAGGACCGTTAGCCTTATTCGTTTTGAGACCAAGCAAAATTCGTCTGATAATGCGTTGACGGAAGACGATTTCGGGCATTCGACTCTCAACGGGTGGAATGTCTGGCGGCAGTTTTCTTTGGGAATCTAAATTAGAGTTTGCTGCGAACATCTCTGCAAAAATATTTGCTTTCTCCTGCGATGTTGTTGCTAATGTGCCGTCGGATTTGGACAGTGGTGAAAATGAACTATTAGTGAAATTTCTTCCGACCGCTTTAGCAAGGGACCAAAACGAACGGGAGCCATTGGGGCAATCTATGAGTTTCGATCTTATCTTGGCATTGTATGTTTCTTTCGAAGCATCTATTGTTTGGCTGCAGTTATTCCTGGCATCAACGTATTCTGCTCTAGTCGCGAGGTTAGGGTTTTTGCGCCAGCGATGGTAGGCTGTTTGTTTCAAGGCAACAGTTCTAGAACAGTTTTTGTTGAACCAGGGTTTCGAAGGTGATGATCTTTTCGAAAAATGAGGTATGTATGTGTCCATTCCGAGCATGATGATCTCGGATATTTCCGCAGCACACTGTGAAGGGTCCTCAGAGTCAAAGCATACTCTATGCCAAGGAAACTCGGAGAAAAACATGCGGAGACCGTCCCAATCTCCTGAATTGTAATGCCATATAAGACGTGGGGGTGCCGGAGCAGTTGATGGAATGAAAAATGGGCATGTTGTGGAGATTAGTATGTGGTCAGAATTGCCAAGTGGAGCTCGTACATCTATGGTGTAGGGTGCTGAATTATTAGTGGACTGATAATCAATCATTGGCAGTCAATTACTGTATTGTTAGTATATATGGACGTATAAACAAAGAAGGACCCATTTATTTACATCGTAATGTGAAGCCAGAGAATACGGACACAGCATATCACCTGATGTTGAATTGTGGAGGTTGTCACGTCCTGTCGCTAATAATTCCTAACCTCAGGCTAATCCTCTCAAGTATTTTTACTTACCTCTTTTGTAATCATCTATTCACTTAGATGTTCATTATGATCCAATTCATAGAACTCAAGAAATAAATTATATGTCCATAGATAGTCACAATCAAATATTATAAAACTGTCGTTATACATTATTTCGAAGTTATTCTGTAAAGGTTACCGAGATTATACACAACCGACAACGCCGCTGCAAAACAGGCTCGTTTCGTGATGTTTCGTGCTTTCGGCGAGTTCGGCGTTGTTTGTTTATGTTTATGTGTTTGAGGAAGTTTATTGTTTTCGTTGTTTTTGAGTGAATTTTCTTATTTCTTTCGTGAAAAGTTGATAGACAGAGACTAATAATGGTGTTACACTGCTGGATTTGCGAAAAAACAAAGTTTTAATACCCGAATTTCACCTTCCATTCGTGAGTACTATTTGTTTACATGTTTGAATTAGAGTTTCATAGGCGTAACAATCTCGATGTATTTCTTCATATATATCAATTTTTTTACGTACATAATTCATCTGAGAACATTCCTTTTCAATGCTTTTCTGTTAAGAGGAAGTTGTATATATATTCGAAGCAATAATGCAAGGGCTCGTGCAAGGGTTTCGTAGTCCCTCACTTTTCACGGTCATTTTTCATTTTGAGTGGATGACAGATCTCATAAATGTTCCTGCCGTCTTACTTTTTCGAAATTTGATTCGGTTCTTGAGAAAAATTTTTTGAAAATCATCAAAAAAACACGTTATTATGCGATTTTTTTTAGAAAAAATTGAATCGAATTTCAAAAAAGTGAGACGACAGGAACATAGATTAGATCTTCACAAATATGTACTGATTTTTTTTCATTCACTCGGAATGAAAAATGAACATAAAAAGTTAGGGACTACGAAACCCTTGCATGGCAACAATTTATGTCCTGAGAGTGGCGCCGCTCTCAGAATTTATAGGAATTTCCATTTATGAAAGGAGATGAAAGATACATGCCTTATTTGCAATGTTCACGAGGGTCTGGCATGTGTAAAAAATTGAAATTTCATAATTTCAGTGGGAAATCATATCATTACTATTTCATATCATTTCAGACTGTATTGTTAGTGATCAAAATTGATGTTCACAACACTACTTACGCATTTTTATGTGAAATATGTGTCACCCTGTTGTTTCAAATTGTTTGAATTCAGATATCATTTCAAACGGTTTGTCATGGCCGTCAATTGGCAATGTTCTGAGAACAAATAGATGGTGACGTCAGCTTTTATGCTGTTTCTCCATTGGTCCTATAATCTTCCGTTTTCACTCATGACCCAGGTAGCATAGTGATGTTCAAAGGACGTCCTAATTTGGTCACCAAACTGACCAATTGACGTCCAAAAATGACGTCTTAAATACCTCGAAAAAACGTCAAAATGTCACAGCCATACGACGTTATACTGAAACGTCAAAATGACGTCTCAGAAATGATCTATGGAGGACTATATCATCCGAAAATTTGGGGTATATATAGGCATGTTATACGGTATTAGAGAAACATATCATACATCACTGACTTTTCAAGAGATTTATTTTGGTGAGTTGGTCTCTCCGGATGTTTGATCTTCGATCCTGGCATTATTATTAGTTCACCCACTCTTCGTGAGTATGATATTAGCTATTCATTTTCGTATCTTAAATTGTGCAGCGAGCGTCGGCGAGATGTAAGCGGAATGAAAGAAGCTTGATTGCAACGTACTGAAAGTTGGCAAATTAAGCTTCACGTTGTAGAGAAGCAAATATATAGAATAGAATAGAATAGAATAGATTTATTCGCTTATGAAAATCCACTTATGAAAAATGAGATACAATAATAATAATAATGAGGTAGGTACAATAATATGAACTTATATGACTAAATTCACTAAATTACTGAAAAATATGAAGAAACATGAGTAAATATGAGCGAATATGAACAAGTATGAGTTGAAACATATCATTTTATTGATACAATCACAATTACAAATCTACATTTCAACTGTTTCGTGAATAAATGCACAGAGCCCACTTAAGGCAGAGCCTTGTCTGTGGGAAGTACAAGTATTGTGCTGCATTTGTTTAAATGAAAAATATATAAATCAATATAGTATGCGAAACACAAATTACAAATTATAATTTAAGGCGTGTGTATTGACTACATGTTTAGACTAGAGGCACATAATTATATCTACTGCAATAAATGAATAATATATTATAAAACAATAAAAAGAATCAACAAAGCTACATAAGACTACAAATGAGCATAATTTGAAAATTATATTTTATAATCGAAGGTTGCAGTGGTTTTTATTATTTTCGTTGAGGTTGAGATGGTATGGTTATGAGGGGGAATTACAATCAATACTGGTAAGTATTTTTGACGTCTATCAACTGATGTACTCTGA